ATATATATGATATATAAACATATGTATGTATAGATAGATAGATAGATATGTATATATACGTATAGATAGATAGATAGATATGTATATATATATATATATATATATATATATATATATATATATATATATATATATATATATATATATATATATATATGTTATTTATATGTAGATATATATGTATATATATAGATAAATAGATAGATTAACAGATAGATATATCTGTATATCTTATATTTGTGTATTGTGTTTTATCATGTATTATTTGTATTGTATATATATTATATGTATTTTGTTTATGTTATGTATATATTACATAAACATTATATATGAGGCAGTATTTATTTTATTCATTGGTTTACAGATCCACAGCAATGGTTTTCCTGATTTTTGAACATAAAATTAATTGAGAAATTGACTTTATTTTTTATCCTGCCTTACCTAATCTGATACAAGTTGACTCTATGCCCTATACCCATAGAAACCTCCACAGTCAATGGTATCTGTCATTATGATGTACTTTGTGGAAGGACTTCATTGATTTTTTTACCACTTTCCATGTTTCCAGGTAAAGAAAGTGTTCTAAAAGAATTAAGATTCCCAAATACTTTTTTGACTTTGCTACTGCCTGTCAGAGTTTTTCAGAAATAAAATCCATACAAGGAATAATATGACTGTGGCCTGATATACACATATTCCATGTATGCCTTTGAATACATTTATCATATATGTCTATGATGTATATTTTACAAAAAAAGAAAAATATCCTTTCCAACATCTCTCTTTTCCTCTGCTCCTCAGATATCTATACCCTCTTCTCTTCCTCATAAGAAAACCTTTGTTTCATAATCCACATCACCCAGTTCCTCTCCAGAAACTCTTAAAGACATCCAAAATTTCCGCTGCCTCATCCACCCTCCAATCCCTTTGTTCCTACTCCCTCTTAATCTGAAGCATTTGCCGATATCCTTCCTACTCAAGTTCCCCCAGCCCCCTTCCTCCTATACCCTCCCAACACACCCCAACCTGTCTACCTCTCCCACGTGAATGCTCACATGAATCCCTTCTGTCACAAAAGTGTCCTTCTCCAGACCCTTCCCTCCAGACATTCTTCCTGATACCTCACCTTCCCCAGTTCCCATATGCTCATCCCTAGGATTCTTCGCATGTACCCACATCACTTGTGGATTATTTCATAATAACTTTTGCCAATTTGCCTTAGGTAATATTCCTATTCCTCCCCGAGCCACATATACAGTCCAATTCATCCAGTAGCCCTTTACCCTTAACCTTTTTATTTACTAATCTCCCATTTACCTAATTGGTAGTCCCTCTTTACCCTTTCCCCTATCATACTATCCTATAACACTATAACCTTTGACGTCTAGCACATTTATTTGTTTTAACCATTGCAAGTCATGCTAATGGCACAAAAACAAAAGAGAATATATTCACCGTAAATGTGGAATATTGAAATGTTAAAGTTCCCCCTATGCCGTTTTCTCTAAAGGTTTTCTCTCTGAGTGTGGGAATCAGGCGATCCGGATTCACTTACGCGAACGTCAACAAAGAAAAAGAGCCGAGCGAACGTGTCATCTACTGTAGTGTCAATATTAAGCGGTCAGTATATTGCCAAGCTATTAGTTCATTATTAGTTTTATGTTATTTCTAAAATGAAAACCTCGAGAGCAATGTGGAGTGGCGGAAGAAGTAAATAGGTATGTAGAATAACTGATGTGGAAGGCAAGGAGGAAAGAGCGAAAAAACTATTTGATATTTTGAAGCTTTGTAAGCGGGGAAATGCAAGGATTGTGAGTAAACAACAGAGGGAATGCCGAATCTAGAGATAATTAGATATTCTGTCAAGAAGCAGAAGACAATAGAACTTGATATGTTAATTTTCCAGAACACGATTCCTACAATCACTGTCAAAGGTGAACAATCTTCCTCTTCAATTATTTTTGCAATATAGAGTTGGGATTGACTTTTTGTTTGATTAAAATTCGTAAATAGAGTATTTTGTTTTGTCAAAATATGTTTTGAGGAGATTGTTGGCAATACTAGTGTGAAATGCAAAGAAGGTCATATGAGTGCTTGAATTGCTACTCTGGGATTTATAAATTAAATTCTTATTTACCTATAGTTTCCAATGATTATGTATATAATGTAGGCTCTTATATTGGGTATTTTATTTGCGCATTATAATAAATGTTTGACTGGCACCTGAAAGTTGCATGTTAGTCACATTATGAGACAACAGTGTCACAGTGCGAGAGCCGTGCTCCGCGGCAAGACAGAGAAGAAACAATTTTGTAGCTGCCCGGATTTTTTAAATTTTGGCTACAAAATGTACCTCGGCGCGGGTGGGTTAATGTGGGAACTTTTTAAGTAATTTTGAAGGAATTTTTTTTTCCCCTATATTTTTCACTTCATCCCGTACAATTTCTGTGGAGAAGGGGGATTTTTTTGGGGGGGGGATTGGGAGGGGGGCACCAGCATGGGACCTTCTCTGATGGACGATTTCTCAAGCTGAGGGCTCTGTTCCCAGACCCATTTCATTGGCTGTTTCCTTGTAACCAAAAGTTAGAGCAAATAATCATAATTTACAAGAGGCTGGATGGAAATCTCTCATTGCATGAAGGAAATTGGGTTGATGTATTTCTAATGTCAAATTTGCTCTGTTGCTTACACATTGGGTACTCTGATCATGATTTGCAGTCATTGGTATAGAAAATAATCTGACGACACCAATGGTTATGCTACTGTAGCAGCCATGAGCCATAACTGCGGCACAGTATGATTGCCACAATAGTTGTTTTAGGGTCGTACTTTAAAACTCTACCGCCACCACTGTTGCTGTCGTTCAAGTGGCGGTGGACCATCTTTGTACTTTAAACACCCGAACTTCGAACGCCTGGCATTCTGACACCCCAACTGGCGTTATGTTATTGGAACCTGAGTGGCGGTGGAGTGCCAACATGAATGTGTCTTTCATTGTGGTGTTTGACAATATTCTTCTATACTGTCAAGGCTACACTCAACGAATATTTATTTCATAATAGCCAAAGTGACACAGAAAATTTGCATAGTATTTTTACAATCATTTAGCAATTATTTTAAAATTGAAATATTTTGAGAAGACCTTACTGCGTATGCTGGAATCTATCACAGCACTTCTCACCTCACTTTGGTTGCCTTATTTCAATATTATTTCTTAATAATTTGTGGAACATGAAGCAAATGCATTTTGCGCAATGATTAATATGCATTGTATGGTATTAAAAACATGATAACATGTACAAATAACAATTATTTTGCATTTTGCTAGTCTGGGCATAGCCGAAATATTACTTAGCTTATGACTTGTATTGTATGTGTGTGTGTGTACACATACACACACACACATACGATATATATATATATATATATATATATATATATATATATATATATATAATATATATATATATACATATATATATACATATATATATACATATATATATACATATATATATATATATATATATACATATATATACATATATATACATATACATATATATACATATATATACATATATACATATATATATATATATATATATAATATATATATATATATATATATATATATATATATATATTTATATATATACCTATAGCTATCAATATAACATCTATGTAAATGTATGTTGTGTGTGTGTATATATATATATATATATATATATATATATATATATTATATATATATATATATATATATATATATATATAATATATATATATATATATATATATATGTATATTATATATATATATATATATATATATATATATATATATATATATATATATATATATATATATATATATATATATAATATATGTATTATATATATATATATATATATATATATATATATATATATATATATATATATATATATATATATATATAACAAATGTACATATTTATGCATGGGCATACAAATAACTTTGATATTACTTTCAAAACTTATAGGTGTTCCATTCCTATTACTTTGAGGTGAATGGTTACATGTGGGCTGCAATTAAAATTAGCAGATAATCTTGAATGAATCCAGGAGTTTGTCAGTGTATTTATCAAAGAAATATTACAGTAAGATGCAAGCACTTTCCAACAATAGGTCTACTTCCTGACAGCAGAGCCATGCAAACAAGCAGTCAAAAATGTATTAGTGATTTTCCTGGTGCATCAGGGGAAATTGGCATTATAGAGACACAGTGTGCATGTGGCCCTAGTCTAGAAGTATAATATGTGATGCCTGTACATGACATTTGTAAAACAGCAAATTTTTGGCAAACATTGACAGCAGCACAGAATTAGAGCAAATTCAGTACATAGAATGTTTGCTTGAAAAAATTCTGTGTACACCCTCATTTCTAATGTAAGCAACCCTACTAGAGGTTCTGAACTAAGACATGATGCTTTTCATTCAAGAATCATGAATTTGATTGTGAGAAGTCATATGATAGGTGTCAGAGAAGATTAATTTGTGACAATTTTCACATAAAAATGGTCATTTAACACTGGGTTATTATTCCCACAATTGAAGATGTAAATAGTAATACTATTAACAATGAGCGGGAAATAAAGGGTAAAATTGGTAGGTGAGAAGGATTAAGGGAAATCAAGATAAGCTGTATGTTAAGAATTTTTTATTGGTATTTGAAGTGATAGCCTTGATGAAAAAGTCAACAAGCATCAAATTTCGCACCAATTTATTGCTTTTATCCACTGGATAGTAGAGGTTATTGTTGAAGTTGGCAGTTTTCGTGTTGGCCGAATGCCAGCAGTGGCGCTGGTGATCCCTGGTGCTGCCTTGTCTTTAGAGTAAGGATTCGAGTTGCCCGTAAGTGCCAGACCGTGTACACCTCCGTTTTGAATGTTTTTAAAGTATGGCCCATAATGTTTTCTAATAACTGATAATAATAAAAATAATAACAATGATAATAACAATCTGAATATTGATAAGAGGGATAGAAATTGTCATTATTATTATCCTTATCAATATTCTTATCTCCATTACACTCTATTATTGTTATTCACATTGATATTAATATTGTTATGGTGATCATTGACACTTTTTTTTCCTACTCCACCTTACTTGATGCTATTTTTAAGAGAAATTCCCACATATTAAGGGTAGACCAATCAGGTGCAAGGGTGTGTAGGTCCAACCAATATTGGGTGCTCTCCTCTGTTCATTTACGTATAGCACCTTTGGGAAGCATTTGCTCAAGTATTGCCATAGAAGAAAAGTGTCTTGGTTTGTATCGGTCTATCAAATTATATAGGTTTTATCTCCCAACTCAGGCACTACCTCATTTTGCATATTGTCCGGTATTTTATTTGTACATTACGATGTTTGAATGGCACATGAATGACTGCTACTTCCAGATAGGCCCAACCAACCAAAGGAGATCTAGGTCATGCAATGATGTTCATGGGTGTGAGAGTTCACATTCTTTAGTGGTTATATACAAGCTCCCGTTTGCTTATTTAACAAGCATGAGCAGATACATGAACACATAAATTATTGAGCAGAGAAATATATTATGGAAATGAGATTAAATGCATGAAAGTGGGAAAGATAGATCGTTTAATGTGAGGACATGACCATTAAATATATTTCGAGATAGACAAACACAAAGTTGCAGATCTTTAACCATAGTAACCTTCCAGTTTTAACGTAGACTATTTATAATTGTGTCATGCATACACAACCAGGTATTGGTGCTGCAATTACTACCATTGTTACTATTATCATTATGCAAATGAATGTTATAATTATCATTATTGATAATATCATTGCTATGTATGTGATTATTATTATAATTATCGTTATCAGTATTACCATTTTCATTATGGTTATGATTGTTAATGAAATAGTTATTATCTATATTTGTTAATTGATATTATTGTTAGTTAATAATCAAAATTATTATCAATATTATTTGGTAATAATTAATATTGTGTTAATAAATTATTTATTTATATGTTAATAAATGATATATTTATTTGTTAATGATTGATATATTTATTTGTTCATAAATAATATTATTATAATGTTGATAATTGATATTATTAATGATAACTTGATATTATTAATAATAACTATCTTTATCAATATTATTTATTAATATTATGGTTATTATTGTTTTCACTATCATTGAGATTAATACAATTGACATTATCATTTTAATTATCCTTATTACTCTTTTATCATTACTTTTTTTGTCATTGATATATTTATCATCATTATACCTATTTTTGTTACCTATTATTATTATTTTTATAACTTATTATATTTCTATAATCTAAAACTAATGAAGGCAATGTTAATGTCATTTTTAATTAAGAAAAAAATCATTCTTATTTTTATCATTCACAGTCTTAGCAGTGAACACATGAGCCCAAGACTCACTACAAGGAACCAGGGGGAGGGATCGGAAATCATAATTTTTGGCGAGTTAGAAATAACTATTCCATGATTTGATGTGATACTGCAGTTTGATATACGGAGTGTTATCTATTTATTATTGATGAACATATATTTCTATGTATTCATTTTGTTTATTATTTGATATGACTAACTCAATAATTTCTTTTCTTATACTTTTTTCTTGTAATTTCAATAATTAGCTTATGAACACTTGGGCAAACAAAAGGATGTTTATCTGAATTCATAAACATTTCCAACTCCTTAATTGTATGGTTCACAGATTTTTTTATTCTCATTCTTCTTCTGATTATTATCACTTTTATTATTATTTTCATTTCTGTCATCAGGATGATTATGATAATTATTAACATTTCCATTACCTTTGGTAACTGTAATTATGATAATTGTTGATATATAATGTCATGAAAATATTTCTCATTTGAGCTTTTATTGTTTGTTTTTTGCTATCATTTCATTATTTATTTACTATAGATCTATAATGTTTATGTCAACACTGAAAAAATTACTAGAATAATGTTTTAGCATTCTTCTTACAGGAGACTACGTGGGAGAAGTCGAAGTTCCCTTACTCTGCCCTCGCCTCTCCTGTCCAGTGAAGCCAGGGTTCCCTTGAGCGAGGAGCCTCCTATGTTGAGACCCACGGAAAGGCACATGCAGTCACAAAGCTGCTAGAAATTTGGCAATACAGAGTGTGTGTAAATTCATAAGGTAAGATCATGGAAGAATGGCTTGAGCTGTTTCTTATGGCTGTGGGAAAATGTGCAGTAATGTAATTGTGTTTATAGGTATTTGTATATAAATATGCATGTGTGCATTTGTGTAAACATCCATAGACACACACGCACACATATATATGTATATATATATGTAAATAAATTTATATGCACATATTTATCTATATATAGTTATTTATATATATATATGTATGTGTATCTATATGTATATAAATATATGTATAAATATATATATATGTAGAAATATATCTATGTGTGTATGTCTCTGCTTCATATTAGGTTGGGTAATTGGTAAATTTGCTATTTTGGAGTTATGCATATGTATACATACATATATATACTATATATATATATATATATATATATATATATATATATATATATATATATATATATATATATATGTATGTTATGTATATATATATATATATATATATATATATATATATATATATATATATATGTATGCATATATATATACACATTTCGTTCACTTTATTGTTTAGTGAAATGTTTCTGCACATAGATGGCTCTGCCAGTGCTTTGCCACAAAGGAGTGAATTAGTAGATCTTGTGACCTCACTTTTCCTTGTAATAGCGGTAAACCGTTTATTTTTTTACTAATGCTATCAATATAGACACTTTAATTTTTGTTATAAATATTATTATTACTTTATAGTTATTGACATTACCAACAGTAGCATTAGATACTAAAACATATAATCAAAAGTCAAGGAAAAGGGTAAAGAGGTGAGGCAGGTAGTTCTCGTAAATATATATGTATATACATATACATATACATAGGCTGGGCCCCTCTTGAGAAAAGGCCCGGGAAAAGCTAGAATTGGTGAATCTAACTGAACTGAACTGTACATATACATACACATACACATGTATATTATGGATATAAGTATACAAATATATCTATGCATATAGATCTATGCATGTATTTATATATATACATATATACATGTATTTCTATTCATGCATACATACATATATATATATATATATATATATATATATATATATATATATATATATATATATATATATATATATACATATATACATATATATAGATATATGTGGATATACATTTTGTATATGTACATGTAGTTATATATATATATATATATAATATATATAATATATATATATATATATATATATATATATATATATATATATATATATATGTATATATATAATAAATAAATAAATATATATATGTATATATATAAATTAATAAATAAATAAATATCATATATATATATATATATATATATATATATATATATACACACATTTATTCATATTTATGCTTATATATACATGCATGCATACCTTATATGATATGTGTATATATACATATATATATGTATGCATACATATATATATATGTATACATTTACTTTTATTTCAGGAAAGAAATAAGACATAACCATGTATAATCTTTAGAGGGGAAAATGATTAGGATCTACTTGTAACTATCTAATTTTTGACATCTAACACATTTTATCCTAATCTTTAACTCCTCATTACCCTCTCCGACACAATACTTTACCATAGTTTTATATGACATTTGATGTCTAGCACATTTATTTGTTTCAAGCATTAAACATTAATGAGTAATATTTTAATAATAGAACTAGAAGCTGAAATATTTTTGTTTCAAGCATTAAACATTAATGATTAATATTTTAATAATAGAACTAGAAGCTGAAATATTTTGCCGATTTTGAGTACACTCTCTTTAAGATGAGTAAGTCATGAAAATCATGGTCTTTGGGAAAGATATAAGATACATACAGCCTTGTAGAATCTTTAGAAGGCTATGTCTCCAATACTTAATTTTGCCTTTATTGAAACCAGAAAATCATTTTGATTTACTTGTGACTCTCATGGTACACCAGTTAATCCATGTGGGAGATTGATGAAAAGATTTTTCTGTCAAATGAAGGAGTTACAAGTAATAGATAACGTGTGAAAACTAGGGATTGTCATGATGTGACACACTGACAGCAATATGACTGAGGATATTGAACAACATTGGGTACATTTTTAATTTCATAGGACCCTGAAGATAACCTTTGCTTGTTTGCAGCCAACACATAATATATGTATATATATATATATATATATATATATATATATATATATATATATATATATATATATATATATATATATATTATATATGTATATGTATTTATATATGTTTTTTAAGGTCGCCAAATGAGATTAAGCAATGTACTATGAAAGAAGGTTTTAACATCATTACATCATTCTTTTTCAGATAAAGTGTTTGAAACATGTCTATTAATTTCAAAATGTTCAAGTCTTCACTCCTAATAGTTTTGATTTTAGCTTTGTACTTGAATTTTTTCACACTATGTAATTGCACTTTGTGTTTGGTTCACTGTATAGATGTAATCCTAAAGCAAGTAAATGTAGTTAGAGATTACATATATTTGTATCTCAGATTGTGGATTAAGTTGGTAACTAATGCTATGAGAGGCTATGCTCGAGGCTAACAGGTTATGGGCAGTGAGAAGAGGGGTATTGAATTTATTTGTTATCTTATTATTATTGTTATGAGTAATTACATGTCATTATATATGATAATTTGTATATACAAATGATTAGCTATGTTATGGATTCTGTTATCTCTGTTCTATTTTCCATTCGCAGGGCAACAATGAGTATTCTCCCCGACCAGATTCCTTTGGCCCCACTCATGGACGAGGAAATACTTGGCACAGTAGTCTATATCAAAGAACTTAATGAAGGTATGACTGAAGAAATAGAGATGGGAATTAAGGAAGAACTGTATGATCATGCAGATGAAGTGAGTGAAGTGAAAGTGGAAAATGAATTTCTTTCCTTCAGAGATCTTCAAGACCTTAAAAATGAAGCAAATGAAGAAGATTCATGTGATATTATTGAAGATTGCAATACCTTTTCAAGAGTGCCAATTGTGGCTGAGGAAAATGAGAAAAAAAAATTATCAGAAGAGGATCAGGCAAAACGTAAGGAAAACCATAAAGATATTATACACAGAAAAGTGGAAAGGAAATTGAAGCCTTTTGTATGTGAAGAATGTGGCAAAGTTTGCTACAGAAAATCATATATAAACAATCATATGAGAGTACACACAAAAGAGAAGCCATACAGCTGTGAAATTTGCAGCAAAGCCTTCTCTCAGAAAAATAATCTAGTAGTGCACATGAGAGTACATACAAATGAGAAACCATACATCTGTGACATTTGCAAAAAAGCCTTCTCTCAGAAAGGTTCTCTAGTAGTGCACATGAGAGTACATACAAAGGAGAAACCATACATCTGTGACATTTGCAAAAAAGGTTTCTCAGATAGATCTAATTTAGTGATACACATAAGAGTACATACAAAGGAGAAACCACATAGCTGTGAGATTTGCAATAAAGGCTTCTCAGATAGATCAACCTTAGTGAAACACATACGAGTACATACAAAGGAGAAACCATATATCTGTGACATTTGCAAAAAAGCCTTCTCTCAGAAAAATCTTCTAGCAGTGCACATGAGGGTACATACAAATGAAAAACCATATAGCTGTGATTTTTGCAATAAAGGCTTCTCAGATAGATCTGCCATAGTGAAACATAGAAGAGTACATACAAAGGAGAAGCCATATACCTGTGACATTTGCCAAAAAGCCTTTTCTCGAAGAGGTTCTTTAGTAGGTCACAGTAGAATACATACAAAGCAGAAACCATATATCTGTAATATTTGCAAAAAAGCCTTCTCTTTGAAAGGTAATTTAGTAGTGCACATAAGAGTACATACAAAGGAGAAACCATATAGCTGTGGGATTTGCAATAAGGACTTCTCAGATAGATCAGCCTTAGCGAAACACAGAAGAGTACATACAAAGGAGAAACCATGTATCTGTGACATTTGCAAAAAAGCTTTCTCTGAGAAAGGTTCTCTGATGAGGCATTTGAGGATACATGCAAAGGAGAAACCATATAGCAGTGAGATTTGCAATGAAGACTTCTCAGATAATTCATAGTGGATTACATTGGAGAACATGCAGATGATAAACCATTTATTTGTGGTTTCCAATAAAATCTTATTTAAAAAAAGTCCATGCAAAAGAGCAATGTGCCTGAGGATTCACCAAGAAATATGATTCAGTGATTATGTACGGGCATGCAAAGTTGAAGCCAAATAGGCATTCTCTGGGAAAGAAAAAATACTCTGGTGTACATAAAGGTTACAGGTTTAACATATATGAGCTTTGTAGATATACCTTCACCTTGAGTAGAAATTTTGTAGGGCACATGAGAATTACCAATTAAAAAATGATCTACAAGGAATATTTCCTCCTGATATTATGGTAGATACATCATACAGTTTAAAGGTTCTCTTATTTTATTTATGTTTCGTATGATTTTGTTAATGTGTAGTTTTGTCAAGATATATCAAGTCATTTGTGTATTTCCATTGGTCAGTTCTAGACCACTTCCCCTATAGTGACCACTTCCCAGTACTCCTTTCTCCTACTTCATATGTACCACTTCCCCCACACTGGTGCTTTGATAGAGCTGACTGGCATACTTTCACTTCACTCTCTACTATACCTATCCCTCCACCCCCCTTACTGACCATTTCAGATATGCTACAATGTTTTACAACCACGATCCTAAGAGCTGCCTATACAGCCATTCCTCAAACCTCAAGACCTTTTACCTGTAAATGTGTTCCATGGTAGAATTCTGATTGCACAGAAGCAGCCTGGAACAGCTATCACTACAAACAAGCCACCCCTTACCAGCTATCAGCCCATATCTCCTTTAAAATTGCATCTACCCATCTTCGCACACAGAAATAGTAAAACAAATAGCTGGCAAAATTATGTTTCCTCAATTACATCTACATCTATTTCAGCTGTTTGGCGACTGATCCATAAATTATCAGGCAAACATCCCCCCCATCCTGCCCCCGTCCTCCATGTTCAAGATACTCTCATCTCTGATCCTACCGAAGTAGCTAATGAACTGGACAACCATTTCAGCCAGGTCAGTAAAGGTTTCACCTTTCCCCACTTTTCCTCCACTAAAACCATCAAGGAACACACCCCTATCACCTTCACCCTATCCTCTGATGACTCCTCTAATGCTCCTTTTTTTTCCTCTGAACTCAACACTGCATTACAGTCGGGCTTAACACTATCATATGCTCCGACACCTCCCATCTTCCTCTCTATCCTTCCTTTTAACTATTTTCAACCACATATGGATGTCAGGAAATTTTCTTTCTCATTGGCAAGCTCTTATCCTACCTTTCTTAAAACCCAATAAATCAGGTACCCTCCTCCAAGATTACCGCCCTATTGCTCTAACTAGCTGCTTGTGCAAACTACTAGAACGAATGGTTAACTTCCGTTTAATGTGGTATCTTGAATCTCATTATCTCCTTTCTCCTTCCCAGTTTGGTTTCCGCCATGCCCGAAGTACAGCAGACCCAATTGCCCATTTCGAGACATATTACATCTGCATTTGCATGCCATGAATCCGTATTGGCTATATTCTTTGATCTAGAAAAAGCATGTGATACCACATGGTGATACCATATTCTCCAACAATTGTCCTCACTAGGTTTACATGGAAACATGGGTGTCTTCATAAAATCTTTCCTTTCCAAACATACTTTCCAGGTCAAAATTGCCTCTTCCACGTCCTCAGTTCGAAGGCATCCCACAATTAAGTGTGCTTAGTACCACTTTATTCCTTCTTGCTGTAAATGGCATTATCTCAGTCCTACCACCAGGAGCCCAGGCATCACTATATGTTGATGAGTTAACCATCTATGCATCTGGCACATCCATACTGGATCTCCGTCAATCCCTTCAGTCTGCAATAACATCAAGTAACTTCTTGGGCCACTAACCATGGCTTTCACTTCTCTACCTCCAAATCTTTCCCTATCCTTTTCTATCGCTCATGTATAGGCCCCAAACCCCCACTCTGCTTATATAACGCTCCACTCCAATACCGTTCTTCTGGCCAATTCCTAGGCATTATATTTGACTCCAAATTGTCCTGGTGAGACCATATATTGTACATTAAGGAAAGAGTTCAACGGCGCCTGCGAATCTTTCAAATTCTTTCCCACATCTCCTGGGGTTCAGATCGCAAAACTCTCCTCCATCTTCATGTTACCTTGATCCTCTCCACTCTAGATTATGGATGCCATATCTACTTCTCTGCCTCAACCTCCCTTCTGGCTCACCTTGATACAATCCACCACAGTGGTCTCTGCTTAGCCCTAGGTGCCTTCCGCTCCTTTCAAGTTGAAAGCCTGTATACCGAGTCTGGCATGCCATCCCTCTCTCGATGTCGAGCCCTTCTCTCTCTTTGATGCTATGCTCGATTTCCCTTACCAAACTAACTATCCTACAATTTCTGCGTCCTACCTTTACCTCTTCTCTACATTTATCTACTCCTTCTCCGTACGCATGGATACCCTCCTCTCCCATTCCCCTGTTCCTCACCTCCAACCTCTCCCACTTTCTGTCCATTCCATTCCTCCATGGCTTATACCTCACCCCTGTATTTGCTCCTCAGTTTTCCCTGACCCATCAAAATCAGATATTCCCCCCTTTATCCTTCTCACTCATTTCCTTGACCATGTCTCCATTCATTCCTCCAGTATTCATGTTTACACTGACGTTTCCAAATCCATCTTAGGAGCTGGATTCACAATAATCTTCCCAAATCAACTTTCAAATACACCCTCTGATCTGAATCTATTGTCTTTACTACAGAACTGTATACACTCCTTTTTGCCTTAAGACGCATATACTCACTCCTCTCTTCCTCTTTCACTATTTTTACTGACTCCCGTAACTCTTTAACCCATTGGCGCCGGGTGTCACGTACGTACATGCCATGGCTGTTGTGGACCAAACGCCGGGGGCATCATGCCATGCCCATTCCCGCGCTACTGGCTCGTCAGACGGAGGTTGTTTTTCTCCACTAGTAGCGGCTTCATTTATATGGTAAAGATTTTAGGCAATGGCACCTAAAGTGAAGGTAAACCTTCAAAATTTTAATATTTTTATAAATTTTAGCAAAATAAAAGCTTTTAGGTGCTATATGTCGCTCGCAAACTACCGATCGAGCCGGGCGCAAACAGGGGAAACTGCCAGTGCGCGCCAACGAGCCGGTGCATACATAAACTTGACAAAATTTTTACCCGTCGCTGATGGGTTAACCTTCGTAAAGTATATGCACTCGACCAATCCCTTTGTCTGTAAGATCCAGAACTGGTTGTTCTATCTATACACACGCCATAAATCTGTCAGATTTTGCTGGGTACCCAGCCATGTTGGAATACCTGGCAATGAACAGGCAGATACTCTAGCATGCTATACCACTATGTCCACATCACCTCTATGGCAGTCTTTCTGGTCAAGCCTCCACAATAATAATTTACATAATGTAAAACCATCAATCTCCCCTTAAACAGCTCCATTTCACTCGAACAGACGTTGGGAGACAGCCCTCGCATGCATACGTATTTGCCACACCCGCCTAACACATGCCTATCTAGTGTCACACTCTGACCCGCCCCTATTTTCCTTGTGTAATGTTCCTCTTTCAGTTCCACACATTCTCTTGTACTGCCCATGATTTACTACAGCCCGCACCTCTGCTTTCCCCCAACTATCCTTCCTCCACCGACCTCCCAACATATCAGGCATCCTTACAGAATCCCACAGCTTCTGCCTTGACAACCTGTTCTCCTTCCTCAGACGCATAAATATCCTTCACTTGATCTAATTCCCCTACCTAAACCACCATAACCCATTCCCTCATCAACTCCTTTACCCGTCTTCAACCTTTCCATATTACTCTAGATAGTTGACACATAGCAACTATCACCTGCCATCACCCTTTCTATAGTGCTATATGACCTTAGATGTCTAGCACATTTATTTCACCTTTAACCATTAACCATTAAGTTATTTGTGTTATTTCCTGTATTTTAGGCTTCATAGATTTAATGTCACATAGGGACAGTCAAAATACAACCACTTATGTTCAGTTTTTCAAAAAACTGCTTCTCTCCAATACAGCCATTTATATGGAGGTCATCGGCAGATTTATACATGTGTTGTAACTTCTATCTTAATTTTGGTGCTACAGTTAAAGGTGGACACTTCATATTATGTGAAATACTATATAAGATCTGTATTAAAAGGTAAATGTAGTAGTAGAAGTAGATTCAAGGAAAGAATTCTCATATCTATAACTGCAACATCTGTATTCTTCCTTGAACATTTTTCCTATACCTTCCCCAGTGACAGATACACTGTAATTCATTCAATACCCCCCCCCTTTATACTAATTTCTGCTCTAATTCACTTATTCCCCTATTCCCCCTTTTCACTACCCTACTATCCTATAATGTTCTTAAACTTTTGACATCTAACTCATTTTATCATAATCTTTAACTCTCCTTTGCCCTTTCCTACACAATACTTTACCATAGGGCTACATGACCTTTGATGTCTAGCACATTTATTTTTAAACATTAATTAGTTTCTTATTTATAAGTCCATTTACATAAACATAAACATATTTGCATCTATGTATATATATCTGTATACATATTTCTATCATATCTATGCATCATTTCATACTTTTCTAATACAATAAGTAATTACTGGGGATAATTTTGTTTTGTTGAGTTTTTCATAAAGGCATGAATGAAAATTAAGTTGTACATAAAGCATTTCATTATATCTTGTGATATACATGTGTATATCTGATGCAGATGTGATGAAAGTACATTAAATGCATCTGTTTCAATGTGAAGATGTCGATTCTCTTTTTTTTTTTTTTTTAAGTCTATCACAATGAATACTAGTATTTCATATCTTTATTCACATTTTGTTGATAACCCTCATCAGCATGTATAAAGCAAGCGATAAGCCTATTGACTTCTTGTGAGGGGAACATTCATCTTTGTGCCTTGAGTTATTCTGAGAGGATAAGCAGCATCCAGCAGTCATGTCCTCATATATCCTTTTAAGGACAGGCACACCTATAGCTGTTATGATGCAAGGACGTATGACGTGTATACGCATTACGAATCATGAGCGTGTGGGCCAGCTATACACGGCACACTATTGCAAAAGGATTACATTATAGAGAATTCTGGCCCTGTCATGGAAGGGATATATATGTATGTAAATATATGTATACATATGTATATTTACATATGAACATATGGCATAACCTTACATTAATATGTGCAAAATTATTTTTGTTCTTTGTGTGCAAACATGTTAACAAATCATTTAATTTGTTTATAGAACTAGAAAGTGATACATTGGCCACCCAATCAGAGGGCAATGCTTAGATATATTTCATACATACCTTAGATTTATATTTTCTTTACTTGTAAGTTAATATTTATGTTTCCTGATATAAAGTTTACAAGTAAAACTTTGTTTTTATTAATTTGTGCCACTTTCGCATGTA